GTACCCATTTCTGTAAGAGAAGTTGTTTGCCAAGAACTTAGGAAATTACTAGAACAAGCTTGTTTTGCATGCACAGTACAAATACAATTATGGGACATTCTACAAAGCAAATTCCCAAACTGTGAAAATAAATTAAGCCCTTGCTACAGGGTTAGACATGAGCTGTCCTAAGTTGATGGCTATATTGTTCGTGAATCTCATTGCTTAAGTTGATCGTACATTGCTAGATAATGTTCAGCCTGCAACTTACAACTCCCACAAAGTCCAGGGCCTCTGATATCATAAGTTGCTAAGACCATTAAAAATCTACAAGATGAGGCATATATTGTTTGGTAATCAATACATGAGCAAACTGTTGGCACTATATAAATCCTGTATAATAATAATAACAATGTGGTGCAAGAGAAATACACTTTCAGCTTGGATCCCTAGAGTTCTAGAATCCTGGCTTATTGGAACAGGAACAATCCAAATTTTCCAATCCATTTAGCATGGCAAGTCATTGAGGATCTTATACCTCTGAACTGCCTGATGTATGCAAATGGCATGTCAGTAATCTTGTGCATGTAGGACTTTTCAGAAGTTTAATTTTACGAAGAACCTTTTTTAGTGTACTACCGCTAACAACCAAACTGGAGACCAGGAGCTCTAGAAATATTAAATGAATAAGAAAGCCCCCTGTGTGGACCAAGAAGTTTGTACTGTAATTAAAATGCAAAGTACTCTTTTGTAAAATAATTCTTTACATGGTTGTCTGTAGTTTTCAATATTGAGGAAAAAGACTCTTTTGTACTATGAGGGGGCATACATATCTCTCAACTGTCCTTTATTTGGATGCACTGTCCTTCTTTTGGAACCAAACCCACTGTCCCTTTTTCCTTCTTTAGATTTCCCCACTTTTGGCTTGATGTAGGAATCCCTATAAAAATGTATTATTTAACTTTCAATAGAATTTTAGTGCACTAAACCTTTTAGCCAACCTATAAATTAATCGATTTGTTATTTTGAAAAGCTGAAATAAAAGAAAAATCATCATTAAAACCTTTTGGGTAAACCAACCATTTTGTGCACATTATTCCTTACGGTCTGTGTTATTGAAGGTGGAGCAGAGGTTTTCCCTCTTGCCTATATACTTTGTGCTGTAATGCGTCCCTCTTTACCATCTATAAAAGTTGGGATTTATGGAAGTATGTGGTGTTCATACCTGTAGTAGCTGTTTACAGTTGTTACAGTTATAATACTTCAGACTAGCCACTCTCAACCAGCGTTCCATAAAACCACAGGGTTTCTCCAGGATTTGCTAGGGGTTCCTTGAGCTGTGACTGATTGACATCCAATATAAATATACCTGCATAATTCTGGGGCAAACACAACTCAGCAGAGTCAGAAGTATTACACCAATTATTCGTTTTTTCTGTCTGTAAGGATGGCATTCTATTCAACGGTCACCAACATAAGAGGCATTTTTTTCCCACTGACCCCCAAATAAATTGGTTGTAGAAAGGGTGTCTCAAAGCCTGAAACTATTTTCAGAGATTCCTCTGGGGTAAAATGTTGAGAAAGTCTACTTTAGACATTCTGTACAGGTACCCCATCCACACATTGGAGGTATATGAGGAATCCTTCCTGCTTAACTGGCCGAATTTTGATCCATGTAAGGATGGCATTCTATTCAACGGTCACCAACATAAGAGGCATTTTTTCCCACTGACCCCCAATAAATTGGTTGTAGAAAGGGTGTCTCAAAGCCTGAAACTATTTTCAGTGATTCCTCTGGGGTAAAATGTTGAGAAAGTCTACTTTAGACATTCTGTACAGGTACCCCATCACACATTGGAGGTATATGAGGGAATCCTTCCCTGCTTAACTGGCCGAATTTTGATCCATGTATGGCTGGCTTTTGTTCATGTTCCTGTTTTGAGATATTCAAAAGCCTGTACATGTTTTATGAAAGCTTGAACTTGTTAATAGAGCACTCTGTATCTCTGTCTCCCCAACTAGAGGACACAACAACAAATGACCTCACTCTGCTCCAGGCAGGAGGAAGTATTTTTGGAACCTACCTTCCCCAGGATCACTATGTTCTGCGTTGTGCTCTGGAAAGTCAGAGAAAATAAAGTAGCAAACGAGTTGTTATGGATTGCTATACTGGATGGCCCCATGATTGCCTGAACTTGTACTGTGTTATTTTTGAAAGCCAATAATGCTGTTATTTTGAATAATACTTAGAAGTAAAATTATAAAATAATATTTCTCATTTTAAATCTATGAAAGTGTACAGGATGTCATGGTTGGGTTGTGAATGGCAGGTATGTTTCTCCACTATTTGTGGTCCCTTTAAGGGGGACATTTTAAAGATAATTGTGAGCACCCAGGAGTTCTCACCTATGCAGGGTGAAGGGTACTGGGTTAATCTGTCTGGAGAGGAGAACACTGGTTTTTAGTACTTTCTGTATTGCTAAGGCTTATTAGGGACCCAGAATTTCAGGGGTTTGAAGAGTTTTGGGTTGGAAGAACTCCAAACCTTGATTACAGGGAGTTTTGTCTTGAAGGGGTTAACACAGCTGCCTCAGAGTTCAACAAAAGTGGAAACAGTCAGCGACTGGTTGTAAGAGAGTGAGCTGGAAACCTGTGTGGGCAGGATAAACTAAGCTTGGATTTGAACCACAGTTGCTGAGATGTGAAAACCTCTTTTTGGGACTCCTTAAGCCAACGGGAATACTATTTTGTGTTTTCTGTTTGCTGAAGACAAGCTGGATTTCTGTTTTCCTGTTTGTTTGGAATAATAAAAAAAAAAGGATGTTTTTACCAATGTACTTAGCTGATTATCTCGAGCGCCACAGGTGACAAAAGACATTTGACCAGCACAGGAAACAGCCTAATAACATTTGTTTTTTTTTTCCTATTCACAAAAGTTCTATCAAGTGTATAGGAAAAGGGTCACCTAGGGCTTGCACATACACTGGGTGGGGCATAAAGACGTAAACCTCACCTACAGTAGAATGCTATATCTTTATTAGCTTTTAGACCTCTTGGAAGAAAGATTATATGGCAAAGAAGGGTATCCACACCAAGGACCCAGGGAGACAGGACTATGCAGAGACTTTAATTGAAGCTACAAAATATAGCAGCCAGAGGAAATAATGGTGTTACATACAGTATATCACACCAAATATAGGGTCTAAAGTGGTTGTCTATTTATGAGTTAAAAGGGACCTCAAATGCGGCCCTCGACATCACCAAAGAGATGCACATAATGTTCAATATATGTAATGCCTGGGATGACTATCAGAAACTGCAGACCTAATAGGTGAAATGAGTGTCAGAGAGTGTAGACATGCTACGTTTGGCTGGGGATATGCTGCCAAAGACAATATGAAACTGGGAACATGTTACATGAGGCTAGTAAAGATCAATGCTATTATCCTAATCAATGTTCCCACCACAGACTGCTGTGGTCCAAGGTCCACACATTATATACCAAAGGGCTGCAGGTTGAGCACCAGGGGGATAAATTGTCAGCAGCAGGTGGCGGTTAGACATAACAGAAGAGAACATTATGATGGTGGCATGTGACTTAAGTTTGTGTAATGTTCTCAAAAGTCCATATCAAACCAACCATCTTCTTTATTATGGAGACATCTGTTTTCGAGACTCAGTAGACAAAAATTGTGTCATGGATTGTTTGTTCTATTCACTCATCAGGGCCTTTGCACAGAAGCATCCCTTATCTTGTGTAGAAAAAAAACTGATGTCCCTGAGAATTATAAGACTCTAGTCATTTGAGGGCATGGACCTGTAAATGGAAGCTATTGTTGGTGGATTGTCCCTTCCAGACTCCCCTACAGAGAGCAAACAGAAAGAGCAGTAGAGAAAACACAGCAAAACCATGTCGTACATATGAGCACTAATGGTACTGGAATGTTATGTTCGTGCAGACAGTGAAAAAGAAGCATGAACAAAATGCTGTAGACACAGATGCCAGTCGCAAAACATTAATCAAGCTTGACAGACGTTATGGTTCCATTGTGTTGCAGTTTTACAGCTCCAGAAATAGCAAGTCCCTAGATGGACACTGCTAAGTGTCATGCAGCAACATATTTAAATGTTTACTCCATTCCTACCTAAACTTTTCTTTTTTTTTATTAATAACACATTTATTTTTGCTACAAAAGATATTTGAAGGATAACTAAACCTTTAGAAATGCTTTGGCTGCTGTGGTGTAAATGTCAACTATTACAATGCACCTTTATGGTAGGGGGTTAAACAGTGGCAGGACAAGGTCAAATGGCACCCCCCCCCCCCCCGAGATGTATGAACAAAATCCCCTCCCTACCCCCCCAAAAAAATGTAAGCACTAATCTGTACACTTACCCCACTAAGCGTAAATTCCCTTTGCAAGCCAAAATTCTCCCCCTCAAAAAAGTCCCCCTCTTCCCAGTACAAATTCTCTCCCCCCACTCACTAAAATTTGCAACCTAGCACAACTGATTGCACCCTCAGCCCCCTTTCCAGCTCAAATCCTATTCTTTCCAGATACCTCCTCCTGGAACAAATCCCCCCCCCCCTCAAATTCTCTCCTAGCAGAAAATCCCCCAAAACCCCCTCCTTGTACAACCCCCCCCAAAAAAAAAAATTCCCTTCCTAGTACAAATCCCCCCAATCATCCCTGCTAGCACATATCCTTCCCCCTAAATCCTTCTTCCTAACAAATATCCCCCCCCCCCAAATCACTCCTTCTAGCACAAATTCTCCTCCCTCCATTGCCCCTCCCAGCACAAATCCCCCCTCCTGTCAGCTTGTATGTAGGCAGGAACTCTCCACCTGGCACCCCCCCCCCCCCTCCACCTCATATACTACCTCTTTGCCAGGGACGGCTGCCCCTTCCACCCACCCCTTGTTCCAACTACTGGGCTTTGAGTCAGTTTGTACATTTATTAGCATCTGTATGCTGTCACAACTGTGCAAGAGCCTGCCTGAATTTATATAAATTGATTAGATAGTAGGCCCCAGGGGCGGACTGACAACTCATCGGGCCCCCGGGCAATAGGGGATCATGGGGCCCCTGTGTCCTTGCCCAAACTCAAAAAAGCCTATGAAAAAGGTACCAGGGGCATCTCATGGAGCCCCCTACTGACCCCGGGCCCTCGGGCAGTGCCCGAGTTTCCAAATGGTCAGTCCGCCCCTGGTAGGCCCTCATATTACATAGTTACATAGTTAGTCTAGCTGAAAAAAGACAAAAGTTCATCCATTACACAAATTTGGTCTAAAATTGATTTACACAATCACAACAATGTAGCCAGATTGTGACATTTATGGTGACACGTAGTGTGGGCTTGTTTTTCAATAGGAAGAGATGTCACATTCTGAGCATCGAAGAATGCTGAAGAATCCATGTCAGGTTTCCAAATAAATCAAAAGGTCAGGTCCCTGGAAGAGAAGAGTCATTTCTCTGGCAGCCTGTCCTACTTTCCTATTTTCCCCGATCCAACAGTGCAGTTTCCCTCAGTGTCTTTGTCCTTCTTGGCCACTCGTAGTCTCCACTGGGAGAGCACATGACAAGGTGACAACATAGGAGAACAATTGGGAGACAGAGACAAAGCGGTGTCACCCTATAAAGGGAAGTACCTGAACACAAACCTTCAAGACAGGATCACCAGGTATTATTTTAATAAAAGCTGCAGATTTAAAGAGAATGTAAACCCAACATTTCATATTCTGGATATGTGCCTGCTGTAATATGTACTTGTATGAAAAAGTATCTTGTTCTCTTTGTATTGCTTTCTTTGTCTGAAATCCCTGGTTTTCCTGCCAGTCCCTCTGCTTTCCTATTAAAAACTAACCACACTAGGCATGAGAGCAAAGCGTGGTCTGTGCTCTAGCTGTGCTAGGAACTCAGTAGGGGCAATTCAATAAATCTGCTGTGCCACTTTTCTGATGTTAATGCCTCTTGCTAAAGTATTGCACCAAATTTATTACGCATTTGTGACACTTTTGGTTCTGACAGTGACTCGTGCACCAAAATCGGGTAGTTCTAAAATGTGCCATTTTTACATTGTGTCACACTGGATGCATAACTTCTACATTGTGTCGCATTGAATGCATCAAATTCAAAAGTGGAGCGAATTAGGACCAACTCTCTTTTGAGATACAGAGTTAAAAACTGGTTCAGACAGATTTTGCAATAGTGTCTCTCATGCATTCTAAAAGTGGCGCAGCAGGAGCCAAATTCAAGCACAAGTTCTAGACAGGTACAAAAACTTGGCGCATTCTTCACCACTTTTATAATGCATGAGAGACACTTTCCAAAATCTGTCTGTGGTAGTCTTTATGAATTCCAGGGAGTGAGCTCTCCTCCAATGATAAGACTTGTCCTAACCTCCCCCCAACCATTCACTGGGAAGATCAGTGTACTACTGTTTCTCCTCCCCAGCTCTTAAACAGCTGAGAACAGAGAGAATGTGATCACGTATAAAAAAGGAAAAAAGGTATTTATAATGTGTTTTATATCTATGCACAAATGTTTTGCCTTTCATTTCTATCTTAAACTAAATGGGTTGTTTTACAAGGTGAGGGTTTACTTTAGAAGACTGACATGTATGTTTGAAATAATTTTACATACTATAACCTGATTTTTTAGCAATTGGGTTTAGACATATTTTAAAAGAGAAGTATGACCAAAGCATTTTGTGGGTCACGGGAGTGCACGTGCTTTTGTTCTTCTGTGATCCAGAGTCAGCTTTTAGCGGGTTATTGTCCACTGTCAGCTGACATGGCAGAGCAGCTCCAAGCTCTTGAAGGATCCAGACCATATTGTCAGGATTTACCCAGCTGCCTGATTCACTGCTGGCTCTGCTTCTCATCGCATGACTGAGAGCCAAAGCCAGCTGTGCCCGCATCCTCTTGAGTGATAGCTGGAGGAGCGGAGCATAGGGTGGGGACTGACAGTCTCTGATCTCTTCTCTGAGCTGACCGAGTTCATGTGATTTCTCAGTTCTCATGCTTAGGGCTGAAAGTTCAGAGAGGACACAGGGGCCTCATGATCCCCTATTGCCCGGGGGCCCCATGAGTTGTCAGTCCGCCCCTGGTTCAGACCAATGCTGCAGCAAAGAGGTGAGTATAGATATTTGTTTTTCTATATACCCCAAACATCTCCTTTAAGACTACAGTGCAATTTTGCAAAAACACTTAAATGACTGCTGACTGGAACTTATAGCATCCAAAATGTGGAGGCCTTAAAGGAAAATATGAAAGCCAGCCTTTGGTCTTTTTTCGATATCACTATTTGCATGAAAGATTCATTAAAAAAAATGCACCATGAGACATATGTCACCAGCAGGGGCGGACTGACATCTCATGGGGCCCCCGGGCAATAGGGGATCATGGGGCCCCTGTGTCCTTGCCCAAACTCAAAAAAGCCTATGAAAAAGGTACCAGGGGCATCTCATGGGGCCCCCTACTGACCCCGGACCCTCGGGCAGTGCCCGAGTTTCCATATGGTCAGTCCGCCCCGGTCACCAGCACACTGATCTATTCATAACAAGCTTTATTTTTAATCACAGAGGAACAGCAATGACCTTTAGAAGCCATAAAGGGACTTTTTCATCAGGCAATAGTGAACAATGCACAAAGACACAAGATAAAAAACATGCAAAAACAAACAACTCTAAAAAAAAACATTTTTTATATAAAAAACTGTTCTACTTGAAAATTCCATTGCAGTTTATTGAAATAGCCCCCCCCCCCCAGGTTGAAAACAGTTAATGTATCAGGGCTCATTTACACATGCTTCAAGGACAGCTGCGCCTCTGAAAAATGATCTGTGCTTGGAACGCTTTTCAGAGGAGAGATGTCACCTCCTCACCACTTGTTTTAACCCTCCTAATTGACACCATATGCATTGCAGGGCAGACGCAGTGCAGACCCATTTTTTTGAATAGGTCCTAGATGACGGGCGTGCCGAATGCAAAATGGGGTTTAATTCCTGCCGCCGCAGGAGCAAAGCATCAAGGCCGCACCATGTGTACACTCTGAGCCACTGCTGGGCATGGAGGGGGGTGGTTGTTGGTGGTAAACCATGTGTTTTAACCACCCTCCTAACCACAAGTGTAATGGAGTCCTTGAGGCTGCATTCACACTTGAGCGTTTTGTAGCTTGAAGCTCCAAAAATGCTCAAACTTAAAAAATCAATTGATCTCTATGGTGGCTGTTTGCGTGATCAGGTGTGAACAGGCACCACAGACAATTGATTTTTTAAGTTTGAGCTTTTTTGGAGCTTCGAGCTTCAAGCTACAAAACGCTCAAGTGTGAATGCAGCCTAAGGGTTCACTTGGGTCTAACAGTCTCTAAGGTGCACCATGTTACGTGCCCCCCCCCTTCATCTCCAGGTAGCTCTGAGCTATCGTAAATACATAATACATTGGCATACCTTGCCTCCCTACAGGCTTGAATGTCCACTTTGACCAATGGATTGAGCTCCTCATATAGCGAGTTTGTAATTTGTATCTCTATTAAGAAAAAGACACATCCTAGACATGCTGAAGTTCACATCATTCCATTGTTTCATCTTCGTAGAAAGGAGCCATGACTCATATAGTGAGTGGTTGGGTTTGCCAAGCGTGTTTGCATAATGAGGACAGATCCCAGCATGCACAAAAGATTGTACTACACTATATTTACAAATATTTACAGTGTGGTCATGTTATTGTGTACTGTATGTTTTGCTGAGTCATGAGGCTTATTGTGAAGGGAAATTTGTATTTTTGTGCAGTATTAAAGCTCATTTTCAGGCACAGTTTGCACCCCCTTCATCCTGTCCATCCAATAATAAATAAAAAGTAACTTACCTAAGCCCATTTTAATCTCTTGCAGTCCTTGTAAAGCATTTGTGTGATGGCAAAGAGAACAAACTTTAATGCACCCATGGCCAGTCAAGGTTTCTGATCTGAGAGTGTGCTTTCTGTGCACTCCCAGCAGGGTAACTATCACAGACAGCTCCCGGTCTCTAATAATGATCGGGAACTGGCGAGATCAGCTCTGGTCATGTGACCACTGGGACAGAAAATGACAGTGGACATGTGATCGGGCAGTCCTTCCCACCCTCCAAGTGTACAGACACCAATAAAGGGGTGCCGGCACTGGGGGATAACTTATCAACTTCCCTCTGTGGTCCCTCTTGCAGGAGTGAAGATGGGTGATCCACTGCTGCAGTCTAGGTCCATTGCCAACTGGTCTTGTTGCCACCCTATATCTTGACATTGCCACGCTACCATTGAAGTCTTCAGGATCCTGAGAGGACTCTGCCAATGGGCATAATGGGAAGTGGCACCTAAAGAAGACCCTTCATCCTTGAAATCTAGAGCAGTGTTTTCTTAACCTTTTTTCAGTCAAGGCACCCTTTTAAAATTATGGACAATTTCAAGGCACCCTCTAAAATTATGGACAGTCTTGAGGCACCCCATTTTAAGATGTAAAAAACTATTCTAATAGTTTTATATAACGCAGCAACATCCACACATGTAGGACACCCAACATTAGAGGTGATTTATTCTTCCAAAGCAAATACACTTTTGCACACTGGTCCTGACTAGTATTCCATTGTTTCTTTCAGTTTTACTCCATCACTGAGCTAATGTGACCCCAGCACTGATGGAGAGGGGGCAGGAGAGGATCAAACTAGGATGCTATGCAGGCAACCAACGTGCTGCTTATCAACTGATGTTGTCAGGATGCCGGCAGCTAAAAGGCGGTAATGGTGCACGATGAAAACGTGGCTTTGTGTAAATAAAAGGCAGGATTGTTCCACACTGCTAGCTTGTATACAAGTTTTGTGCAACTTTTAGACATTTTTCCAAGGCACCCCTGAATAAACTACTAGGCACCCCAGGGTGCCTGGTTACCCTGGTTAAGAAAGGCTTATCTAGAGGAAGAGAGAAGACTCAGAAATAGAAGGAGAGTAGAGTAGCTACTTCAAGGCCTCTGCTTTGAGATAGCAGCCACATAGGGAGGGCATTGGTTTCAATCAGACGGCCATCTAATAGCCTTGCATTGTGAGAAGGAGCCATAGCACACAACCACTGTGCCATCCTGCAAAGCAGGAAATTGTTCTTTCATACGTAATGACAAAATATTGCTGAACCCATGTTAATTGATAAATACAAACTATATATAGATTTTTTTTTTTAATA